CGGCTGTGCCCCCCGGCGCGGTGCGGCCGCGGTGGCACGCACGAGCTTCAGAGGGAAAAACCCGCTGAGGGAGATCAGCGACGAGGTGCCGGCTGCAGGGGCAGAAGCCAGGACCGTCCCCGGGGCACGGGGGAGAGCATGCTTCATCTGGATGAAAATACAGCCCGAGCAAAACGCTGTACAAATGCCGTATGACATCCGACTGCCTATCCAGGGCTCATATTTTACATGCAACTGCAGGAGCAAACGAGCCCATCTTTTAAGAAATCTAGACATTTTGTTATTTAGGACACGTTTTACTCGTGTGCATTTTGTTGCCTGCAAGTATAAATCTTTGAAGTGCAAGTTATAAATATTAAAGCTTAAATGCATAGGGGGAGTATGTGTATCAAATTTTAGAATAAATTTATTCCAACCCAGTTTGACACACGCGCGCCTAATGTGTTCAAGAAGCACTCAAACAAATTAGGAAACAGTTATTTTGTTTTACAATGGTAGGTGCCCGTTTCAGAGACTGCTGAATGACTTAACAACAATAATTAGCATATTTATATAACACGTTGTTTATACGTGGGGTTTTGAATCTAAGAGGCATTAAAGTCATATATAATATCATTTCCCGAACTGGAGTGATTCCTAGAAGTATGAAGCAATGATTTGTTTGGTTTTTTTCACTCCCATTCAAGCTACATCTGTGCATATATTCAGAGTCAGAAACATGTAATCCTGCCCAGAGAGAGTGGGTGCACGTTAACAACACAATGTGTCTTCAACTGACATCTGGTTGCACAACAAAAACAAACTGCTATTAAGGACCTTTTTTTCCATTTTTCCCTCCTTAGTTCTTTTCTTCCATCTTCCTCTCATCTCTGGAAGCTCCATCCGTATTGGAATAGGCAGCAATTATTCCAATCTCTGTAAGTAGTCTCTTTTTTTTTTTTTTTTAACTGCATTAATGGCATGCCTTGCAGTCATGTACAGCTGTAGGAATATTATCTTTAAAGTCCTCTAGCAGATAAACATCAATCCATTAAACAGCAAATAGCTTCCTGACTAAGAAAACAACTGAGTTAACAGAAATTGACTTAACCTTGTGATCTTTATACAGACAAAACTCACAGAAATGAGAATCGTCTGAAATAGAGGACCATAAAATTTAGTGTCCGGTACAAGTACTTCAATATTTCCTTTAAAAAAAAAAAAATCCTACTTTTCAGCATTTTCTCCCACAACAACAAATTAGCACATAGCTGCTAAAACTGATTTACAAATTGAGCACACTGACATCAGTCACAATTTATATCATTTTGGCACTCACTAGTGGAACAAACGTGGCTAAAAATTACTTCCAATCATAGAAATAAAACAATTCCTGACATTCGACTTCCTTCTACTCTCCTTTTTATGACTGACTTTTGTAGTTACTACATGAAAGTTTTTTTGAAAAGGAAATACAACAACATAGGAGCCAGTTCTGCCCGTGTCATTGGCCCTATTTTGGCAGAAAACCACATGTATGCAGGGAAGCAGAGTAGCATGTCCAATCTCTTAGATGAAAGAATACATAATGATAAAAATATATGCACAACAATTAAAACAACCAACATACTTCTCAGAGTAAGTGCTGCCTCTCAAGAAAAGCCATGCTGAAATGTTGTAACTAGATTATGACTTCGGTAACAACTTTTAAGCTAAGATGCCCATCATGGGTGAGAAATCATATGATTAAACCTGAAGTTTAAAGAAAGAACAGGCAAAAAGTTATCTTACTTTGGAACATACATAAAGGAACAATAAGTCAGGCAGCTACTGTCATTCACAGACTAGAAAGACTATCAAGCTTAATGTTTGCTGCCACAACCTACCAACTTGGAGAAATTATTCATAGCGTCAAGGCCAACTTCCGTCAACACTAGGTATTTGTAAGATCTAACCCTAAGATAACTTGGAGCAGAGTTTGGTTGGTAGAGCTGAAGACAGTGCAAAACCAAGTAAATGAAAATGTTGTCTTTCAGATTGCCCAGCAGTCCCTTAAACTCCTAGAAAAAACATGTTAAAATTGGGCTCAAGAGCAAGTGCAAAATTAGTAGCCGCTGATTAAAATTGTTCACCCTCTGGCTACCTAATAGATGACCAACTGGCATCACCTATGTCATAGAAAATACATAACAACAACACAAAAATGACAGGAAATTGTAAATGCTTACATTGGTTTAGCTATGTGTTGTTACAGGTTAATATTGCAAAAATACTGTTTAGACTGTTTTTGCACAGAATTGTTGGTTTTACATTATGCATGAAATGACATTTCATAGCACGTCATTACGTATGTAGCCAATATATGTTTAGTTTGGGGATTCATATCAGAATAACATAATTTCTTTATCCATTCTTCGCTTTCATGTTCCTTGACCCCTAGGCTCAGATTTTTCCCTGCCATTGCCCCTCCCAGAGAGACCACTTTTTCATGGCAAGGCAACTTCGTATTGCATTAACTTTAGATCAGTGGAGTTTTGTAACAGAACCGTTGCAGCAAACAGTTCAGAGTAGTCTGAGTATTGCCCTAATTTCCAAATGGGTGTCTACGTCTCTTCAAAATTAAGTGTTCTTAAGACAACATTTTGTTTTCTTTGGCCTTAACTGAGTACAGTTCAGCCAGGCCTGACGTCTGGCCTTCTACACAAGGGCTATCATGTTTAATTACTGTAATGCCTAGACTGTGAAATGTTCTACTGACAACAACAGATAATATTAATACAATACCAGGCAATAGCAAAAAAAAAAAAAAACCAACAAATCAAACTGTGGCTCATATTACACTTTTATAGTGAACATGGAAAGAAACTGGTATTATCCCAGGCTGTTACTATGTACTACAGAAAGGAGACTACACAGTGGATTCTTCAGCTATACAGAATTCATGTATGCCAGGTACTAGACCTGTTTACTCTCCCAATACTGAATTTCCTAAGCAAGTGCAAAGGCCCAGGAGCAGGACTGCAGCTTTTCTCATACAGAGTCAGCTGTGCCTCAAGAATACAGCATCTTGTACCAGGACAAAGGGGTAAAGTCACACAAGCCAAGTCCAGGCAAGTTAATACTCAATAATGGACCTATGTGACTTCAACCTATCAGTACCAAGGCAGGATGACAGTTCCAGCATTTAATGGAATGTTCTGATTGGAAATAAAATTTGCTATTAGCTTTGTGGCTTTAGGTGTTTCTTGCTAAGAGAAACTTTGGATTTTCTTTGCAAGGTGTTTTTAACTTTTGGTCAGGTATGTTTGTTTGTTTGTTTTTTGAAGTAAAAAGTCAAAATTATGTCTATAAAATATTGATGACAATGAGTATAAATCATTATTAATCAGCAGTCATGAACCTCAGTCAGTGTTTGTAATACTTAAATGAAGGGGGCCCAAAACTGTCAGAGAAGTAAAAAGGCAGACAAACAGTTCTACCCAAACTGCCTTCCATTCCTGCATGCCACTGCCTCCTCCACCTCCACCCCAGCAGTTCTGAGATTCATCTCTGAAGACATGGATTTTAAGCACAGGTAAAAGCAAACAAATCAACTGATTTTTCAATCAATTATCCCGATTGCCAATACATATCAGCTATTATAAAAAGATAGTTATTTTACAACTATTAAGTGACTATATAGTTATGTATTTAAATATTAGTAAATCTTTATGATAACCGTATTGAACAATGTCTCTGCTGTTACATCTAATAGAGCACAAGGAATGTCCAGAGATATGCAAAACATTCATTTGGATGCATGAATCAGGAAAAACAAGACTACAAAATATGCAGACAGCTTTTTAAAATCCAGCATTAAGACTCCTGTGTTACAACCTTTATAGATCTTACAAACTTACTCTTACTAAACCAAATTATCTCACAAAATCAAGAAGGAACAAAAGCATTCAGACTGTGGTGCTCTCTGCATGAAAACCCACCTAACCATGGCACAGCGACAAACTTGCTACAAAGGAAAAGTGCAGAAAATCCTGATCCTGAAACCAGTAGGCCCTTGAGTAGACACTGGATGCTGTCCCTCAGCATTCGGCTCACACACCGTAACAGCACAGCTGGCTGCCAGCTGTGTTGTCATTGGCTACAGCACTGCTAGCTGTGCTCTGAGACCCCAGGACAACGGTGGAAGGTTGAACAAACTTCTACTCATAAACAAGGAAATCTTTCTGTACACAGCAAGAATAAAACACTCTCTCCACTGCTACAGACTAGGGAGTCTGTAGCTCTTGTTCTTGATGGCAAATCCTGTATTCTTCCCAGAATGGTCTCCAAACTCAGCCAGTTTAACACACTTGTCTAGAGGCCAGTACTCAGTGAACATAATTTCGCATTCATATGCACAGGTGGAGCCCAGTGCCTCAGTTCAAACAGGTGAAGAAACTGGGTGATTTTGGGTCTGTGCAAGTATCTTACAGCGGTTCTGTTGGCTGCACCAGATTTGAGACATACAGAAAACAAGAGATTGCTTCAAGCCTGTGCGTGACAGCTTTGCTGTGAGCTGGTGTCCTGGAGAGAGTACATTATGCCAGGAAGTTTAAGAGACAGACTGATAGATCTGCACCAAGACTTCTGCACCCCGCAGCAGTATATTCCCTTGCACTTGTGGGATGCCTTGAGAAGTGTCAGTGATCAAAGCACCAACATCTACCACCCATTACCAGTCTCCCTCTTCTCTAACAGAAAATGACAGAAACCATGTATGTCTGTGATGCCAGGCAGCGAGGGAAACACATGCTCTAGTTGCCCCCTCTTCTCTAAGTGCACAGCGAAGTTTAATCCCCAGAATAACCTGCTCTTTGTTTTCCTTCACTGATTTTTTTCCTTAAACTGTGCATGTTTT